TGGCAGCTCGCCTGAAGCCAACGGGGTGGAAGGAGAGGCCGATCCCGAGCGGGAGCCAGTGCGGGATGTGGGGACTGAGGCGCCTCAGAAAGCCAAGGTGAGGGGGGTCAGTCCCTGCCCTGCAAAGGTGGGCAGTGGGGGGGGCAGGCCCCCCTCAGAACAGTTGGGGAGGGACATGCCCCTCTCAGAGCATTGAGGGGGCATTGGACCCCTCTTGGATTAGCACTGGGGTGGGAACAGCCCCCTCAGAGCAGAATGGGGGATTGGGTCCCTCTCAGAGCATTGAGGGGTCAGACTTCTCTTGGAGCAGTGTCATGGGGGCTCCAGGACCCCCATAGCCCCATGCAGCGAGGTCACCTCAGCACTGGCTCTGGTCCCCTTCTTGGGGCTTTTCCTGTGGAGGCATTAGGCAAAAGTCAGTGTCCTGGTACAGGGTATAGTGGCTTCAGCAGTGCTGGTGGCATCGCCCAGTGATGGCTCGAATGCCAGGGTGTCTACTGAAGGGAGGAGGAGGAAGGAGGGGACACGAGAGCCACCCCAGGAATGCTCCCAGCTCCTCTGGCCGTCCCCTCTCTGCTGCCATCGGCTCTGTCACAACGCAGAAGTCACCACTCCGGGTGCCATGTCAAGCTGGTTCAGTCCACCTGATGGCACTGCTGCCAAGCAGCAAATGTTAGCCTAATCTGAGTATCACCTGCGTGCTCCTCGCTTTGTGCCCAGGGATATCCCATCCCAGAAATCCCCAGCAGATCATTTACCGTGTGCTCCTGGAGCCCGGTAGATCGCCCACGTGGCAGTTACGTGAGGTCAGTGTAATAAATTGGTGTTATCCTAAATTCCCAGCAAGGCCAGGAGCTGGCAGCAGAGTGCAGCGGGTATGGCAGCTCCCCTGGGGGGACTGGTCCCTTTCCATCAGCCTCAGGAAGGAGGGATGCTCTTGGTTATGGGGTGATGGAGGGGGTGGGAAGCGAGGGCTGCCCCCTCACCCACGGATGACTCTGTCTCCTGTGCTGGGCCACCCACGGCGCTGCAGGAGCTGGAGATGATGGAAAACATCTTGACGAGCAAGCAAGACGAGAGCTGGGAGCAGCGGGGCCCCCGGGCCTCCTTTGCCCGGCAGGAACGGAGCCGCCTGCTCTGGGAGGACGTCAGCGTCATGGAGGAGGATGCCACCAAAGTCACCGCCCTGAAGCTGAGGCTGGATGAGTCCCAAAAAGTGCTGCTCAAGGAGAGGGAGTGAGTACATGGGGCATCACTCTTGCAGGGTGCCAGCCCAGCCCAGCCCCGTCCCCACCAGGATGGGATATTCCTTGGGGTCCTGCTGACTGTCACCAGCATTGCCTCTCCCCAGGGACAAGCTGGCGCTCAGTAAGAGCATCGAGAAGCTGGAGGGCGAGCTCAGCCAGTGGAAGATCAAGTACGAGGAGCTCAACAAGAACAAGCAGGAGGTGATGAAGCAGGTGAGTGAGGTGCCTGGGTACCAGAGACACCCCAGGGGGTGGCATGTCCTCGTGGGTGGGCACAGTGACCCACAGCAACCCCCCCAACTCCAAGAGGCTCATTAGGGACCTTAATGAGTGCTACTGAGCCAGTTGGTCCCTCTTCAGAGGTTGGGTGGGTGGATGTGGGCAGGGATCAGGTGGTGTGAGAAGGGTGCTCACTGCCCTCCTTGGGTGCTGTGTCCCACCCCTACAGCTCAACATCCTGAAGGAGATCCACCAGGACGAGCTGGGGCGGATCTCTGAGGACCTGGAGGACGAGCTGGGTGCTCGCTCCAGCATGGACAAGAAGCTGGCTGAGCTGCGTGCGGAGGTGAGGCTGAACCCCAATGTTTTGGGGGCAAAGGGAGTGTTGAGGGGGGTCCCTGCTGCACCCCGGCCACCCCATGTGCCCATCCCAGATGGAGCGGCTGCAGGCGGAGAACGCAGCTGAGTGGGGCCGGCGGGAGGGGCTGGAGACAGAGAAGCTCAACCTGGAGCGGGAGAACAAGAAGCTGCGGGCGCAGATTGAGGACCTGGAGGAGGTGCTGGCTCGCAAGCGGCGCCAGACGGCCAGCGCCCTGGACACCGACCTCAAGACCATCCAGGCCGAGCTCTTCGAGAAGAACAAGGTGCCATGGGGGTGGTCCTGTCCTCTGCCACCCTTTCCCTTGGTAACTCTGTCACTTCAGCAGTGACTCAGCATTCCTCAGGACCTCCTCAAGTCCAAACCCTGGCACCACCATTCATCTAGGGGATGGTGATGACCCTTGCTCCATCAACTTCTCCATCATGGGATGGAGCGGTGGGAGGGATCCCTGGGAAGGGCAAAGGGGGCATCCGGCAGTGGGGGTGGCTTTCAACTGCTCAGCCCCCCCCTCCTCATGCCCACCGCAGGAGCTGGCCGACCTGAAGCACGTCCACACCAAGCTGAAGAAGCAGTACCAGGAGAAGATGGCCGAGCTGGCCCACGCCAACCGCCGCGTGGAGCAGCACGAGGGCGAGGTGAAGAAGCTGCGCCTGAGGGTGGAGGAGCTGAAGAAGGAGCTGGCGCAAGCCGAGGATGAGGTGGGGAAGCTCGTGCTGGCAGAGGGGGTCAGGGTGGGCAGCTCTGCTCCCTCCGCGGCCGACAGCCCCGTCCCATCCCATCCCACAGCTGGATGAGGCCCACAACCAGACACGAAAGCTGCAGCGGTCGCTGGATGAGCAGACAGAGCAGAGCGAGAGCTTCCAGGTGCAGCTGGAGCATCTGCAGTCCCGGTGAGTGGGGGACAAGGGGGGCTGCAATGGGGACCACCAAGGACCCATGGGTGGGGTGACATTCTCCTCACCACCATCCCTCAACCAGCATCTCCCTGGTTGAACCCCAGGCTAAGCACGGCCAAAGTGCCTCCAGCATCCTTGGAGGTGTGCAGCCATCCTTGGAGCAAGCTGGGTGGCGTTCACCTCCCAGTTAAACCAGCACAAGGCTGCCCACAGACCGGTACAGCCCAGTTTCATGATGCTTGGAGTTTCACCCGCTGGTACCTGAGGCCAGGGCAGGCTCCAAGCATCCCACGCCAGTTTGGGGAGGCAGGAGGTTGGCTTTTATTGCTTTTAAAAACTTTCCCTGGCCTCGCTCTCCTTCCTCTCCAGCAATAAACAGCTGAAATGGCTGTGCAAGATCGATGCCATGTCTCCAGGAGGCGCAGGGGGGCTGTGTTTATCATTTTCCTTTATTTTATGGGGACGTCTTCATTAAATCATGGAGGAATAATGGTGGCTTCAGCTCCCCCCCACCGCTTCAGCCTCCCCATGCACTCTCCTTTAAATAATTCATTCTTTCCAGTAAAATGCAGCAAACTGGTCATATCCAACCCTGTCCTGGGCCTTTTTATTCCAAATTTGCTTCATAAATTTCCATTGATGAATTTTCGTGTGGAAGAAAAACACCACAGGCTCCCAGGAATGAGGACCCCTGTTTTTCTGTTGGGAGACCCATTTCAGAGGGACTCCTGACTGGGTCCGAGGTACCCGGCATGGCGATGTACAGCCCTGGAGGGTTTTTGACGGTGCCGTCCCTTATGCTGAGCATCATCCAGGGTTCCCTGCACCGAAGGGTCAACCTCAGCCTGGGAGTGCTGATCCTGCACCCAGAGCTTAGTGAAAGCTGCAGAAATGGGGTGCAGCCGTGCTGTAGTGGTGTAGGGGGACAGGCTCAGCTTCGGTGTCCCCCTGGGGCTGCTCCCCATCGCCCCCCACCCCAGCAGCTCTCCCTTGGCAGGCTGCGGCGACAGCAGAGCACCCCGCTTTTCGGCAAGATGCGCAGCGCCCGCTTCGGCCCCGATGATGCTGGGGACGGCACCAGTGACCCCGACGAGGACGAGGACCTGCAGATTCAGGTGCCCTGAGCCCAGGGCCAGGTGCCACCGCCATGGGGATGTCCCATGGCAGTCGTCTGCCCACAAGTGCCTTACCACAGAGCCCAGCCATGTGGTGACCCTCGTATAGATAGGGAAACTGAGGCACGGAGCAGCAGGGAGGAATTTGCCGAGGGATGCTGCAAGCCCACTGCCTTGGACAGTATTGGACACCCCTCAGCCACCAGTGTTTCTTGGGACACAGATGTGGCCACCAAAGCCAGCATCACCTGAGCAGCCCAGGAGGAGGAAGCGCAGGGCAGAGAGGGGCACCGAGCCCTGCAGCCAGCCCCATGCTCCTGCCACCTTTTTTTCTATATATATTATATATATGTATGTATTTGTATATGATTTTTTTATTATAAATACAGAGCCCAGAGGGGCCCAGGCTTTGGTGGTGGTTTTGGCTGCTGGTTTGTCCCTGCGTGGGAGTGAGAATGGAGGGGACAAGGTGCGGATTGCATGGGGGAGAAACAGCTTTTTTTCACAAGCTGTAGGTGCAAGCTGCTCACTCTGGGGAGGTGCAGATGTGCTCACCCATGAGTGCAGGGTTGTTCATCCATGGGTGCAGAGGAACTCGCCCTGGGGAGGTGCAGGGGCGCTCACCCATGGGTGCTCACTGTCCCAGCCCAGGTCCCTGCAGTCCAGCCCTCACACTGTGGGCCCTTGGGGGGCATTGGAGGAGCTCAGACACAACCTTATTAAAAATTGATATTGCAGTGAGCTAATGCCCTCGCTCTGCCTTTTAATTGATTGGCTAAAAGCTTGGCTCTCTGCTGCTCCTGGGTTTTTTTAAATGCCCTTTTATTTCCAGCGATTATTCATTTTTTCATGGCCCCACAAATGAGACAGTGGAGGTGGAGGTGCCTGCAGGCAGTTTCAGTGGGGACCCTAAAAAGCAGAGTTTTAGGGGGTACAGAAGTGGGGAATGTGGACAGGGAGATGTCTGCCTGAGCCGACGGACAGCTCCAGACAGCAACCTGGGGAGAAG